TATCCCATGGACTACCAAAGGAATAAACAGGTATGCCTTGGAATGAGTGCAGTCAGAGTCCTCCTTGGAGACAAGATAGAAAAGCTTCACCTCACCTCACATACTTTGGGCATGGTGCCCCAGTAGGAGAGACTTTTCTTGGAGAGGACATCTTGCTTGGAAAGGTGGAGGTTCGGCCAAAGAGAGAGAGACCTTCAACTAAATGGATTAACACAGTGACTACAGCAGTGAATTTGAGTGTGTTAGAGATTGTGAGGAGGGCACAAGATAGAACAGGGCTCATATTTGTTGTTTGTAAAGTCACTATGAGTTGTACTGGACAGCACCTACCAAGAAGAATAAATGTCATTAAATATAATTCTTCAAGTAACTTTTTCATGTAACATTCCACTCTGTAGACATATCCTAATTTTTTCCCACTGAATGTTTCAACCAATCATGTGTGTTTAAAATTTGTATTGTCTCAAGGTTCTTTCTATTATAAGTAATGCTGCAAGGAACATCATTTAAACAAACTTTAGGCACAGTTATGATTGGCTACTAAAGATGCATTTCTTCTAGAACTGGAAATTTTGATCAACATTTTAAAACCTTTTTAAAGCTTTTTAATATTGATTGTATAATCTCCCACACCTAAAATTCAGTATTAATTCCTACTCCTTTAATCAGCATGTGCCTCCATTTTTTATAAATGACAGTTGCTGGTTCTCTCTTCATAAATAATCTATTCTTTTTACCAGCAATCATAAATTTTGGCTTTTGTCTCTTTTATATTCCTTTATCAACTTTTATGCCTTAAGTTTTTAAAATGATGATAAAATAAAATTTATCATTACAGCTTTGTTCAAAGCCCACAACATTCTTCATAAAAGACTATGTTCCTTAAACTTCCGAGTGCCCACAGCTGTGCTAATGACCCACGTGGATGACTGGGAAGCACAGTGTGTGACCCTTTTCATGTCTTTTGCCTATTTTGTAAGTGGATTAGCAGCCTTGTGGGAGCCCTCTAGTGTTCTGTAAATTTTTACTTATGAGACCCTTGTCTAAAATGTCATAAGAAGACAATGAAATTCAGGTCCTCCCTTGTGACTTACAGCCTCTGCAACCCACTGGAGTGTCTTCTATGAATGGATTCTGACTTGGTGACAAGGAGAGTTTTGAGTATGGTAAAGTGCAGAAATAGGTACACTAATCATGGTCTTTCAAATTACCAGTATACACAACCACATTCTGGACCTTTCCTCTCTAGTAGAGAATTGCTGTGTTAGTGATTTATCCAAAGCAAGAATCTGATATGTACTGTAAGGTCTGATTTGATGCCAAGTTCTAATGTTTCTTTTCTAAGGACTTTACTACTCTATGAAAAGCCTTTTGGTACCTTAGACCCTAGTTTGTTTTTGGCCTCCTTTTCCTCTTCTTTAAGATCCTCTACTTGTCAGTCACAGTAATATACAGCTTCAAGGCTTGTTACTTCTGCTGTGAGCCTGTCCTGATTTGCCTCCTCCATAACATTCCTGCTTCCACCTTGTTTTGCTCTTTGTATAAAACCGAGCCTAGTCTCTGATTCTTAAAATCTTCCTTTAAAGATTGAAGTAGTGCCTCTATCTTAATATTTGATTTTACTCCTGTGCCTCTTACCTTCCCATTCTTGCCTGACTTTTTTTAAAAATTATTAATTTTATTAGTTTTAATGAACATTTACAGATGCCTGACTGTTTTGTCATCCACTTCTTCTCCAGCCTTCTCTTATGGGTATTAGATCTCTACACTTTGTACTGAAGGAGCCTCGGCAGTGCAAGTTTAAGTGCTCAGCTGATAACTGAAAGGAAGGTGGAGGGTTTGAACCTACGCATCTCCTCTACAGGAGAGAGATTATGATGTTACACTTATGTAAAAATTGTTAGGTGATGGTGAGTTGGTTCCAACTCATAGTGGCCTGATGTATAATAGATTAAGACAATATTTTGTCTGTGTCACACTTCAAATCATTACTATGTTTGAACCTGTTGTTGTAGCACTGTGTTAGTCTGTCTTGTCAAGGATCTTCTTTTTTGAACTTCTTTACCAACTTTACCAAGCATGCTATTCTTGAGGTTCTGACCTCTCCTGGTAATATGTCCAAAGTGTGTGAGATTGAATCTCATCTTCCTTCCTTATGGTGAGCAGTGCAACATACTCTGGCCTGTGCCATCTCATCTTCACTTCTAAGAAACACTTTGATTCCATTTCAATGGTGCATATGATTATTCCTCTAGCTGTTTATGCTATATGCATTATTTTTTGCCAGCACCGTATTCAAAGGCAGCAATGCTTTGCTCTTCCTTATTCATTGTCCAGCTTTTCCATCGATCTGAGGTGTTGAAAACAATAGTTTGAATCAGGTACTGGTTAGTCAAGTGGATGACAAAACAGTCAGGCAAGAACGGGAAGGTAAGAGGCACAGGAGTAAAATAAAATATTAAGATAGAGGCACTACTTCAATCTTTAAAGGAAGGTTTTAGGAATCAGAGACTAGGCTCGGTTTTATACAAAGAGCAAAACAAGGTGGAAGCAGGAATGTTATGGAGGAGGCAAATCAGGACAGGCTCACATAACAAACT